TGTGTATGATATGTCAAAATACATTCTACTGTCATTTATAACTAGAAAGAACAAATAAATAATTTTTAAAAAAGAAGTGATTCAGATGCTGGTTGCTCCAGTTGCACTGAAGGGCCTGAAGTGCTTACCTTCAGATTGGAGACTGGTGAAGATCCAGGTGCTTCATGGGGGGAGGTCGGGGCTGAAATCACATGATTCTCACCTTCAAATTTATCATCTCTCTGCCACCTGACCTGGTATGGCTGTGTAAGGAAACTGTGAAGATGAAGTATCATCTACTGTTAAGTTTTTCTCTTTGCTGGGGTTTTGTGGGTATCTTCTCAGGAGCTGGACCTCAGCCTCACCCATATGTGCTTACCTAGGAATGGGTCAACAGCTGAAAGCTTATGTCCCCCATTTTCCTTCAGTAGAAGTGTGTGCTAGGGTTCAAGTGGACTGGGTTTGGTCAAAACTGGGCTTAACTCCTCTCTGCTGAGCTGGGAATCAGGCAGAGCACCTGCCCAATGTACATGAGACCCTGGGCTCAATCCCGGTACCAGAAGGAAAACAGAGGGCTAAAAAAATAAAGAATAAAAATATATATTATGAATAGAAATAAAAAGGGAAAAATGAGAAAGAAGAGAAAAATCCAACTAAAGAATAAAAACATAGGGTAAGCCAGTCACTGTGGCACATGCCTGTAAAACTAGCAGTTCGGGAGGCTGAGGCGGGAGGATTGCAAGTTCAAAGCTAGCCTCAGCAAAAGCAAGACTAAGCAACTTGGTGAAATGCTGTCTCTAAACAAAATACAAAGTAGGGCTGGGGATGTGGCTCAGTGGTTGAGTTCAATCCCTGGTAGCCTCCCCCCAAAAAAGGTAAAATAAAATAAGGAAAATATTAATGAGAAATGAAGAATAATAATAAAAGATTGAATAGATGGAGAAAAATATAAAAAAATCCTCCTCTTGGTGTTTTCGGAAATTCTGGGATTCTTCTAAGGTAAGAATATGCCAGGTATGTGGCAGGTGGGTAGTGGGTAGCATTTGCAAGTCCTCTCAACTCTAACCAAGTGAGTTGGGATGGAGTACAGGCTGCACCCCTTGTTTCTTGTTGAACAGGTTAAGATAATGTTGACTGTGCCAGGTGTGTATTCTCTCTAGAAGATTTTAGTTTGCATATGCAGGGGCATGGCAATGTCTAGGCTAAGTTGGCCCTGAGGGTGAGGGGAGCAATTGAACCACTGAGCTCTGTGCTGGGGTGGGGATCTGTGGTGTGGGGGCAGGTGAGCAAGAGCTGAACAATTTGCTATCCTCAGTCCCAGGGCCTAGCCGCCCCCCACCAGAAACCACACGTGAGTAGTGTTGCTTCCCAACACAGAGGGCAGGATTATTGAATCACGATGGCCTCCCTGTCCTTCCCCATCCTAGCTTATGCTCTCCACTGCATAAACTTCTGAGCAAGTTTGTGTCAGAATACTGAAAGCCACCATTGAGTTGTGTGGCCGCTGCCAACATAGTCAGGGCAATGAGGTGTGTGTGGGAGTCTGAGATGTGATTGTGCTGGGTTTTCTGATGCCCAGAGCAGTTTAACCCTAACGTAAGAGCTCTTTTCAAGATGACCACTGGATGGGAGTACTCTGGGAGTTTGCTGAGGTGCAGTAAATTTCTTTTCTGTATCTAGCTTGTTGTTTAGGCTCCAGGTCACCTACTGATTTAAGTTGCTTGTCTGCCAGGTACAGACTTCTGCTATGACCCTCTTTTACCTTTATCTCCCTGGACGATCCTTTTCCCTTGACGAAGATCCCAGGTGTCAGTAATTGGGATTTTCCACTTCTCTTGCTTTGTTATTATCACTAGTTTCTGGAGTCGGCAGGTTTCATTTTCTGTGCCATCAATTTCCAGCGTTCACCCATAGCTGCTCACCTCCACAAGCAGTTAGACACCTGTTGCTTATTTTCCAACTAAGAACACTAGTGATGAGCATCTAGCCCACATCTTGAGCTTTTCTACATCCTCTTTTTTACTTTGAAAGTTAAATGCTATTCAAAATTTAGATAGTTGGATTGTATTCAAACATTAAACAAGTTTTGGATTTTTTGTCATCACTTCCACCTCTTGAATCTTTTTATTTTGTGTGTATATATGTGCATGTGTGGTACCAGGGATTGAACCCAGGGATACTCTTACCACTGAGCTACAGCCTCAGCCCTTTTTATTTATTTTTGAGACAGGGTCTCATTAAATTGCCAGGGTTGGCCTTGAACTTGTGATCCTCTTGCCCTAGTCTCCTGAGTAGCTTGGAGTACAAGCCTATGCCACCACATCCAGAACCACTTCCTGAATCTTTGTCAGCTTTTCAGTGTGTCTACTGCTTCCTGCTTTTTTGCTTCCTCATTTGCCTTCGTCTTCGCATGGTACTCATCAGCTAGGGATTTCCATTCCATTCTGTTATTCTGAAGATCATTTGGTATACATGTTATTTTTCTGTGAAACTGTTGACATTTGCTAACCTTTGGTGTGACCACCTCTCAGGTACATCATATCATGGTAGATGATAGTGGCAGGAGCATGTAAGCTTTTTTTTTTGGTGATCCTGCCTCAGCCTCCCAAGTTGCTGGGATCACAGGCATGGGCCATTATGTCTGGTAGTAAGCTTTTGATTAGTTTCAAGTTGTTCTGAAAAAGTTGTTCCTGACAGTTTTTTCTTTCCAGTTTGTTCATTGCTTTGACTAGACTGATATTTGGAATTCCCTATTTTATTGTTTTTTGATACCCTATACTTTAATAAACCTAAAAAATTCATCTATTTTTTAGCTGCACAATACCACTCTAGTTCTAGTTCTTATTACATCATGTCTATTTTAGGAACTCTTAAACTGACCTCTCCAGTATATCAGGGCTTCTTCAATTCTGTGACTTCCCTACTGAGAAAGTTCACAGTTCCTCCTTGTGTGTCAAATGATGTCTCCAGGCTCCAGTCCTAGCCTGGCTTTCCAGATTTCTCACTGTTCCTTGTGACCTCACATACTTTGATGAAGCCACGCCACTAGCTTCTCCCAAGTATGCAATGTGTTTTCCACTATCCACTCATTTATCTCCATTAATGCTGTTTGCTCCACATCTGGATTGACCCCTACCCTCACCTCTGCTTACTGAAACACTACCCATCTCTTAGGAATCAACTTAAATAAAGTGTTTCTATGAGGTCATTCCTGTGCTAGTTCTACCATTTCTCCATTGAGTGATCTGGGGTTGATTGACAGCTGAGCCCGACAAAATTTCTTTTTCTACTGTGTATGCTTTAGTTCCCCTCCAGCAAGAAAACTCACAGAATTGGCGCAAACCACAATGCTGATGATGGATCAATTAGCAACAGGTTTACTTGGTCTGTCCTTTGGGCTACTGCGCATGCCCAAGATCCGGGACTTTCACTCTCCGTCCTGTGGTTGTCTGGTTTCCTCCTTTGGCGCCTAGGCTGATCCGTTTCCCCTCTGAGGAGTTGCAGGTAGTGCTGCGGTCCTAGGGGTAAAGGTCCTCTTGTTTGCCTCTTATGTCCGATCCTGGTGCCCTGTCTGTCTCCTACCTAACACTTCCACTAAACTGCTATGACGTTTTTATCACCTATTCCTTTCTTTCAGTAAATATTTGGTAATATTAGTCTTTGCCAGGGCCAGTAGGAAAAATTGAACAATACATCTATCTGATAATTAATAATTATTACGTAATAGTTATATGATTAGTATATACTTATAATTATGTAATAGTTACATAATTATTATATAATAATTATATAATTATTGAGAAAGCAAAAAACCTCAACAGGATTTTTTTTTTTTTTTTTGGTACTAGGGATTGAACCCAGGACACTTAACCACTGAGCCATATTCCCAACCCTTTTTATATTTTATTTAGAGACAGGGTCTTGCTGAGCCGCTTACAGCCTTGCTAAGTTGCTGAGACTGGCTTTGAACTTGCGATCCTCCTGCCTTAGCCTCCTGAGCTGCTGGGATTACAGGCATGTGCTATCATGCCCAGCTCCCAACAGGATTTTATGAGAGAGAAAAGCTGCATCTAAATTTTCCAGGTTCACTGTGAAGGGAGAATATGAGAGGCTAAGAGAACAACGTGTACTAGGGTGCTGAGGCAGTCTGTATTCCTACTTTGTATTTTAGTTAATTTTTTTGTTGCTGTGACCAGAAGACTTGACAAGAACAATATAGAGGAGGGAAAGTTTATTTTGGCTCATGGTTTCAAAGGCTCAGTCCATGGCTGGCCAACTCCATTGCTCAAAGCCAAAGGTGAGTCAGAACATCATGGTGGAAGGGCATGTTGGAGGAAGGCAGCTCAGTATATGGCAACAGGAAGTAGAGACAGAGGTCTGCTCCCCAGGGACAAAATATAAACCAAGTGACCTACTTCTTCCAGCCACATCCTACCTGTGTACAGTTACCACCCAGTTAATTCACCAATTAGGTGAAAGCTCATAACCTAATCATTGTACTGGCAAACATTCTTGCATTGTTTCATATGAGCTTTTGAAGGACACCTCATGTCTAAACCATAATACCTTCTTTCCCAGAGTCAACAAAATATTTCTATTAGCCCAGTGCTTTGTATTTATTGCACAAGAGTAAAAATTAATGAACAAACATTGAGAATAGGTGTATGCTCAACAAGAAAAAGAAAATTAATTTGGCGATAAAGAGGGAGAAGAAAAACAGAAGCACTTTTCAATAAGAAGCAACATGAGTCTGGCATCTAAATCCAAAAGTTATATAACCAGGACTGGAAAAAGTCCATGTTACCAGTAATATGTCTGTTTTGGGAAGAACAAGTAAAATGAGCCTGTTTAAAAAAAAAAAGGCAGAAGATAAGAGTGAATTGACAAATTTTTATTTCATTAAAATAGGAGCAGTAGCTAACATTTATTGAGTGCTTGCTCTGAACTAGAAGATGTGCTAAGAACATTATGTGTGTCATTTTATGTGAACCCTAAACTGTGTGCTGTCTGCTTTTTTCCAGTGTCTTGAAGCAGAGTCCAGATGTGGAACTCTCCTTCCCACAGCATCCACAGAACTCCAACCTCTTTAGTGGTGTAAAGAGGGGAACGTTGTTTCTTAGTTCATACCGGGTAATTTCTACTTCTCCTTTGATCTGCCAATTAATTCTATGTTTGGTTTTTTGAAAACTGGATGGAACTTAAACTGTGACTTTCATAGAGTTTTTAAACATTTGCACTTTGAGATTTTGCATGTTAAAGAGAGATGGAAGAAAACAGGTGATGTTCTTTGGATGCCAGAATGACCTTGCTCTTAGGAGTCTGAATCTTTGGAGGAATTCTGCGTCCTTTCCCAGAGTTTCTTTTCTCACTTAGGTGATTTTCGTGACTTCACGCTCAGTCAGTGATCCCATGCTGTCCTTTATGATGCCGTTTGATCTGATGAAGAACTGCACTGTTGAACAACCACTCTTTAATGCCAACTACATTCAAGGGACTGTTCATGCAGCTCCAGATGGTAAATCTTTCACCTCAGGTGTTTTTCTTTTTTCCCTCGAAAGATTCTAAATGTTCTAGAAGGCTAAGATTCAGATATGGTTCACGTTGGAATTCATGAAGCTGCCCTGCTTCTTTGAATATTGCTTCCTCAGTGACTGTGGCCGTCCTTCTGTTGCCAGCTGTGTCAGTCTCTTAGTAACTGTGTATGCCCTTTCTTCCCACAGGTGGCTGGGAAGGACAGGCTACTTTTAAATTAGTCTTCAAAAAAGGAGGTGCCATCGAATTTGCTGAGTTGCTGATACAAGCTGCCGCTGCTGGTGAGCTTTGCTGATAAAGCTATTAAACAGTGTGGAGTTTGGAGGAATTGAAGTAGGACTGTTAGCCAAAATTTGCTGGCCTCTATGATCAGGTAGTTGGTATTTGCACATGTATTCAGCAGGCATTTCCTGGACTTACCTAATGTGTGCCAAGTCCCATAATTTGTGTTGGGAACACAAAGATTATTCTGTCCCTTCCTGTCCTGAAGGA